CTTTTGGTGCTATTCAAACCAACAAATGTAACATTTCCAGTCTTCACCTAGGGTTTCTAAAATAATTGAATGGCAAGTAAATTCATGGTAGTAGAGAATGTGTAATGTAAAAGCATTGGAGCAATTCTCATGCAGCATTTGATAAACACCAACAACCTTTCTATACATTGTAGACTTCTTCCATTTGGTACAATGCTTGTGCAACTCTTCTTTTGTCAAAACCCTGTACCAGAAGTTTTTGTCACTGGAAAACCAGAAGTTGGGTGAAGTGGTTATAATTGTCAGTAAGAAAGGTGTGTGAGGCCTCTGTGAAGTGTTTAGTAAGAAAGGTGTGTGAGGCCTCTGTGAAGTGTTTAGTGAAGGTTTAATAATAAGCAGCACTTAGTAATCTTCTTGTGATACTCTAATTGCAGGTATAGTTCTATGTCTTGTCTTCAATTTAATTGCTGTGACAGTATGTTGGATTAGAGGTGGAGGTAAGCTATTTCCCCAATGTTGTCAATAACAATGTGTCTAAGGGACACAATGCAATTTGAATTATCTCACAAAACTCATGATATGCAGGTGTCAAAATTTTTTTCCTTGCTGTAATCTATGTGCTGATGGGATGTCCTCTTTCATATGTCCTATGGTACAGGCCTCTCTATCGAGCAATGAGGCAAGTATTTGTTTATGCCTTCATATTTATTTGATTTGAAGCTTTCCAAATATGTCATGTAACTATTATCTGCATGGACTGACTTAGAAAACTAGCATTTGTTTGCATCAGTGAATTGGATTGCTTTGATTGACAAATTTCTGGACTGAAGGAATAATTGTAGAATCATAGTGTGTAGGCTAGTGCAGATTACCCTTAGGATTGGAGTTTTAAAATTGTTGACTTATAAGTTTATCATGAGAATATAGTTGCTCTTTAATGGAAGATACTAGTTCTTCACCACTCGTGTTTTGCTCTGGCTTTCTTTGATGCTTGTTCTATTACAGGAAAATTTTGCCTTTTATCTTCATAGGAAAAAAAACAGGTTACATTATTAGTAAACCATGGGTACCCTTTTTGACTAGCAGTCTAGACTTGGGAAAAGAATCCCGCAGTCAAAATCAAATTGCAAGAGTTTAGGCTTTGACAGAACTGAATGGAATTGATTAAAGTTTTCGTGTATGAGTCATCAATACTTGTTCAGTTGGATTAACCCTGGAGTTTTCTTTTCATCAAAAAAATATAAAAAATGATTTGTTTTATTTTACTTGCCAAAAAGATCAATCCCACCTTATTAATTAATCAGATTTATCCAAAGAGTTTCCAATCTTTGTTCGTTTAATGTTGAAACAATAGCCCAAAGCCCTGAAGTAATGAATCAGCTAAATCTAGGATTTGGATCTAGATAACAATCCAAAGGGTTTTGACTTAAAAGAGAGATGAATTGCTCTGTGTGTGTGAGAGAGTGATTTGAGTGTTTTTGGGTCTTGCATGCAGGCAAGAAAAAACTTGTGTCAGAAACTCATGGCCGCCAAACCAACCTCTTAAATCTGTGTTTGTGTTTGAGCAGAAAAGAAGAATGCAAACTTACTATAAGCAGAAAACATGATTAATTATCTATGTGAATCCTAAACTGAACTTGGAAATATAACTATTAATCGAAACATCAAAAGTTTCCATATAGATTACATCAATGTACTAGTGGTGAGCAGACACATGGTTGCTCGATGTAAATTTGAACCAAAGATTTAGGGATTGGTGTTCTCATGGTTGTTAAAAACAGCTCATTGTTTTTAAACTTGCAGGACGGATAGCGCATTGAAGTTTGGCTGGTTTTTCTTGTTCTACCTGGTTAGCTTTATCTACCAACCATGACTATGTAATGCATTTTTTCTTGAAATTAATGCATCCTTTTAACCTACTGATCAATGAATGTGCCCAGATACATATTGGTTTCTGTATATTTGCTGCTATTGCTCCTCCAATTGTCTTCCATGGGAAGTCATTGACGTAAGTTCTTATAGCTCTTGTACTTGATTTCATGGCTGGCTATCACACTTGGTTTAGAATACAAAATTTAAATTGATGATCTTTCTTATAATATTGATATTGATTGTTGTAACTTGTATTCCGAATACTAAGCTTTGAACCTTGTTATCAATCACAGGGGCATCCTTCCAGCTGTTGATGTCATTTCTGATCATTTGTTGGTCGGGGTAAGTGGAATAGTGTTGGCATCTCACATTTATTTTATTTCTCTTACAAGGAACATGGTGTGGACATTTCAGAGTATAGGGGTTTCTTGTCCTCTAGAATGTCAAATTACATATATAATCTCTTTAATCGACAAGAAGACAAAAAAGAGAGAGATTCTCTTTTATGACAATTATGATTTGCGACTCTCAAAATATTTATGACACTTCTAACATAGCATTCTGTAATTTTACTATTGCTCTCCATATATTTGACAATAAACTTTGTTTGTCTCAAAGAAGGTAAAGAATCTAATAGTCTTTATTATTACAAGAATACCAATTAATTGTCGGAGAGGGATGTTTTAATTGTTTAAAATTGCCCTTTTGTGCACCAAGTCCCTTGGGGCCTCCTTATGGATTGGGAAAAGGGAAAATTGGACAATAACATTTTAATTCTCTTATTTCACCGTCCTCAGTTGTCAGGATATATTGTAATTTTAAATTAAGAGTTAACTGATCATGGTTTTATCTCGTATGTGTAATTTTAGCTTAGTTTTTATTTGGGGGGCTTACAGGCATTTAAGGTATGAGAAGTCCTAGGATCCCCAATTGACTGTTGCCATTAACTTATCTCGCTATTTTTTCGCATGCTGCATTCTCCTATGATCTTTCCTTAAAAGGTCATCATGACAAGTATGCTTGGAGACAATCCAATCATTGTTCATGATTTTCATTCTTGTATCCACTACTGTCAAACACTAATCTTGAACTAATGTTCTTTGGTGCAGATTTTCTACCTGGTAGGGTTTGGCCTGTTTTGCTTGGAGTCACTTCTTAGCTTGTGGGTCCTTCAGGTAAGATGCTTTTATCTTTAGATATTATGAATTTGTTTACTGTTATCAACCCCCCCACCTCCCCAAAAAAAGAAGAAGAAAGAAACAAAAGAAAAGAAAACCCAATCTAGGTTTTAGGGATTGAGTGAGAATTGACGTGCAAAAGACCAGGGAACCATTAACATGAGTATTGTATAAAAGCTATATTGGACAAGGAGAAGGAAAAAACAGGTTGTTATAAAAGAAGATACCCCTTAATGGGGCATAACTTGCATTATTTCCTGCAACTCGTAGTAATAGAAGGATTTCTTTACACAAACATTTTACTGGGTAGAGCTTTGCCCATTTGGGATTTCATTAAGAGTGTTTGTCTTTGTGGTGGCTTTAGTGTCTTTGAAGATTGGATATCAACCTTTTCTTGTTAGGAAGGATAGCTTTTTCATTTTTCCTTGAATTTTTTTTTTTTACTAAACATTAACTTACAACAACATTTTAAATCAAATCAGCCACAACCCAAAAGTGATTTTTTGAAACTTATTTTTTCAAACAACCACAAAAACTATCTAAAAAACAAACACGCTCTAAATGCATATCAGTGTTCAGTAGTCTCCTTTCTATTTTCTTGTTTCTGACTTTGATTTTTGCTTCTTTTTTTCCCTCTCTGCAGAAAATTTATATGTATTTCAGGGGGCATAAGTGAGAATTTAGGCGTAGGACTCGATTCAGTTTTTCTAGTGTGCTGCTTCCCGGGGTGGCTTAGTATATTCCTTTTTCTATAGCTATATACATGTTCATTTGTTTGTAGTGATTATTATGTGAGTTGATACAATCCGAGCGAGCATTATATTTCAAAAATTACTGAGCTGTTCAGACTTCAGTATCAATATTAAAAAATATCTTTCTATAAATAAGCCTACAGCACTAGTGAAGTTACTGAGCTTGTGGATTCCAGATGATTTTCTCCTCCTGAACGTGTTGAAAAGAGTTCCATCCCCCCCCAATTTTGGTATGCTAGCATAATAGCCATGGCCCATTGTATTGATTCCAATGGAAGACCGGAATGGCGAAGCTGGGAAAAACTGCCCACAGCGTTTTTGTTTTTGAACGGCGTTGGAAGCTGTCAAAGAATATGCGTTTCTGTTGAAGATGGGTTGGCGTCGCAGTAGTCATCCAATGGGCTTTAGCAAACATGTTTTTGGTTTGAAGCATGTATTATCAATTGCTTATGCATGTTGAACGAACTAACATGTTCCTCAAGGCAATAGTCCAAAATATGTAGATCATCAGGCCCCCGTTCTGCTACTGGGTGGAACATGATTATCTGGAACTAGATGTTAGAATAGTGTGATGGCACCAGGCTTTGGTCCCTTCGGTTTCTCGCAATTCATGGCCTAATAATAGCTGCTAAAATGAGCCCAAGCTCGAATAATAGCTGCCGATTCTCTCGGCAAATGTACATTGCATTTGTTGTGTACACTCCCTTTATGTTCCCGGCCTGGATTCCTGTTTCCTTTTCTCGGCCACTGGTTTGAATAAATTTGTTTGAAATAGTGAATTTGAGGCTGTTAAACGGTTCAAATTCTTGCTCTTGCTGTTTTTTCTTGATATCCTGCGAGTATGATACGGTGGTTTTTGAAGAGTTTGGCCCGTAACATGATTAGCAGCAACGAAACTACGAGCATTTACTTTCAGAGTCTCTCAAGTCTCAACCTTACAAGACCGAAAAGGGGGACGGAATGGCCCCATCTCCCCTCCTTTTCCACACCTCAAAACCCTCATCTCCAACCATCCACCATCATGATGCCACGTGGCATGGCATATATCCCAACCGCAACAAACGACCACCGTGCTTCTCCATGGCTTTGTTTATCATACATACATACATATATATATATACACGTATGAAATTGTTGCGGTCGGGATGTATAGTGTGGTTCTCAGAATTCGAAATGACAATCTTAGTCATGTACATCAAATTATACCCTTCCATGTCCCCTCTATTCCTACCTTAATATCACCTCCACCTTTGTAAAAAACAAGGGGTAGTCACAGAAAACATAAACAAGACACATCAGCCTCCCATCACCAGCCAAAACACCCTTTTCTTTCCCATACAAACAGCCATTTTTTCCCCACCCGTTTCCTCCACTCATTTGTGTTCCAAACTTCTCCTTTGAGGGAAAAGTGTCCACAAATCCATTACATGTCCTCGTTTCAAAACTAGCTGAGAAGCACAGGATTCCAGGGCCTCATTTCACCTCCATCTCTTCCACTCTCAAGCTAGCTCTCCGGAAAAAAAAATGGCAGTTTGCACTGTATACACCACTCAGTCCCTTAATTCAACATGCTCAATCTCCACGCCAACAAAAACCCACTTGGGATTTAACCAAAAACATGTAGTGTTCTATAGCAGTAACAAGAAAACAAGCAAGAGAGCTAGCAGTGCAGTGATAACCTGCTCAGCTGACACACAGACTGTTGTAATTGGTCTAGCTGCAGACTCTGGGTGTGGTAAAAGTACCTTCATGAGGAGGTTAACAAGTGTTTTTGGAGGTGCAGCAGAGCCACCAAAAGGTGGAAATCCTGACTCAAACACTCTCATAAGTGACACAACAACTGTGATATGTTTAGATGATTATCACTCACTTGATAGGACTGGAAGGAAAGAAAAGGGTGTCACAGCACTTGACCCAAGAGCCAACGACTTCGATCTCATGTATGACCAAGTTAAGGCCATTAAAGATGGGATTGCTGTTGAGAAACCTATTTACAATCATGTTACTGGTCTCTTGGATCCTCCAGAGCTTATTAAGCCTCCTAAGATCCTTGTCATTGAAGGTTTGCATCCAATGTAAGTAAAACTACAGCTTCGAATTTCCTTTATTATTTATTTATTTATGAAAAAAAAATGAATATACTGAACTGTCTCTCTGCCTGTCTCCCTCACTCCCCTTACCATCCATGCGTTGGTGAAATCTTGGAATCATCTTTTTTTTTCCCTCCCCTGTTTTTAATGAAAAGTTAAACAGAAGATTCCATCAACTGAATTTGTTATTTCTGCATGCGTAATTAATAATGTTTTTTTTTTCCTTTTCATAAAACTTAATGTAACAAATATTTAATTATGATTTATACATCAAGGCATAAAGACAACATGCATGCATGTTTATATATCACTTCTTATATATTGATGATTTTTCTTAAGAATACCACGCATGATTTGAGAAAAGAAGCAAAAATGGATTGTTGATCCTGAGATAGTATATGTTAAATCTTCCTCTATCTCAACTACAAGGCAGAGAGGAATTAGACCTCTATACTGCCCAGGCTAGCTGTGGACTATGACTAGTGTCCAGGCCCCCCAACAGAATAGTTTTGGCCTCGGAGACCGCGGAAAGAAGATTTTCAGTGGATGGCCCGTGTAAGATCCAGTGAAGAAGGATTTAATTTTATGAAAACTGATTTGAGAGTACACCTAATTTTTAAAAGCTTTCAGACAGACTTTGCCGATGAAGGGTTCATCCTTCGAAAACTAATTATAGTATTATGCTGCTACACAAAACCAAATTGTACACAGGAAAGAGTAATGCAATTTATTATTATAATCTTTTGGAGTAACATCTGTTTGCAAGAGCTTGGACTTATAGTCACCGTCTATACAAAATATGTAGGTATGACCAACGTGTGAGAGATCTTTTAGACTTCAGTATCTACTTGGACATTAGCAATGAGGTTAAATTTGCATGGAAAATTCAGGTAATTAATTAACTAGCCATGTAAATCTACCTTTTCAACTTCTTTTAAATCAATGGCCTCTATTTTCTGCTATCTGAAGTTGTCATGAATTATGGTTGTAGAGGGATATGGCAGAGCGAGGACACAGTCTCGAGAGCATTAAAGCTAGTATTGAAGCACGCAAGCCAGATTTTGATGCTTATATCGGTAATATTTCCTTCCAGCTGATGTGTTTTTATCCTGCTTGTTTATGAGCCTAAAAATATCTATCGGAAAGCTTGATTATTTCGTTTTCTCTTCCCACTTTGCAGATCCACAAAAGCAATATGCTGATGCAGTCATTGAAGTGCTGCCAACCCAACTCATTCCAGACGACAACGAAGGGAAGGTTTTAAGAGTTAGGTTGATAATGAAAGAGGGGGTGAAGTTTTTCAGCCCTGTTTATTTGTTTGATGAAGGCTCTGCTATTTCATGGATACCATGTGGTAGGAAGCTCACCTGCTCTTACCCTGGCATCAAATTCTCCTATGGCCCCGACACTTATTACGGCCACGAGGTAACTGGTCTGAAGATCTAAATATGATTAGGTTTGACCTGTTTTAGAATATACGGCAGGAGTATGGATCTTTAGGGATTGTTCTTTAGTTAATGATGCAGAAAGGGACCCATGCATTCGTTCTTCGGTCTGAGGAAACAATGAGCTCAAGTTCTACCGTTTTAATTTGTTTGTTATAACTTATACTCTGTTTTGTCTTGTTTGTTCTCAGGTGTCTATACTGGAAATGGATGGGCAATTTGACAGATTAGATGAGCTCATCTATGTCGAAAGCCATCTAAGCAACCTCTCCACCAAGTTCTACGGAGAAGTTACCCAACAAATGTTGAAGCATGCTGATTTCCCCGGCAGCAACAATGGAACAGGTCTCTTCCAAACAATCGTCGGATTGAAAATAAGAGACCTCTTTGAGCAAATCATTGCCAGCAGGGCCAAAACCCCAGTAGAAGCCACAAAAGCCTAATAAACTGGCTTACATATTGAACAAGGCACTCATTCTCCAAGGTTACCTCCTTTCAGTTTCTCTATTTCAGCGTTTCTTTTGTGCTTTAGTTGAGTGTTAGGTTGGTCTTCATAAGAATGAGAAGTTGAGAACACTGTATCTATTTGTTGTTATAATTTTATGGAGAACTGTATAATATAGATTATCAAAAACAGATGAATTATCAGCCCAGAATTTTCATATAAGATCAGGATCTCGCGGCATTCTTTTCTCTTTAGCCAAGAACAGCTTTTTCTTGCATCGCCAATTTTGCAGCTAGAACATGAAAGGCCTAATAACAAAAATGCATGGTTTGTGTTCTTTTCCATTGGGCATGCAAAGAAAATGTGAACGACCGGATGTCAAGAGACATGGTGTGAGGTTTGCAAGTATTACGGGACCTCTCTTTTTTAGTGCGTGAGCTGGTTCAGTCTGATTTTCTAAGACTATCCAGAAAGAGAGTTTCCCTGGTTGAGAATCGACATATAAGAGGCAATTTTATACATTATTGTGTTATTTTAGGAGAGCAGCAATCGAATGTAGAGGATACGAGTTGTGGTGAGAAGAATTAAAGGCGTAAAACATCAAATTTTTTTCTTCTTTATGAAGCATTTTAATCTGGAAAGAAAGCTTGACGACATGAGTTGTGAGAAGAATGCCGTTCTTTGACGCTCTAAAAGGACAGTACTGATGTTCTTTTGTAAGGGTTGCAAAAGTACAAAAGAGAAACTAACAAATTCGACCATACAAGCAAAGAGAGGCTTAGGCCTCATTCAAAGCAGTTTTTCCTGATGTCAGGTTCAAATTGGGAAACCTAAGGTGTGAGGATGGCGCTTGAAGTATCATTGGGAGTAATCAGTTATTTGAAAATAGAAAGGAAATGACGTCTTGCAGAAAAGGTTTTCCAGATGACAACCACTCCCATCACCATCTGGAGTTTAAATAATTATAATAAAATATAAAAAAAGAAAAAGGAAGAAAAGGTCCAGGAAATCAAGAGATGATAGAATTTTCTAATTCAGTGTGTGTCTACATTTCATTCGGAATGCACATGACAGAATTCTTGATGAACTTGAGAACATAAAGTAAAAAGTAAATAATCACCAGGAACAACATTCTCACATTTCGGTTTTCTATCTCTGACCAGCACTGTGCAGAAAGCTAGCAAATAATATACTGATTCAGAGGCGCTAAAAAGATGCCAAGACAAGCATATCATGGAATGATGATACGCAACCGCTGTAAACTTCATTCTAAGAAAAGTTTCAGACAACAGGAAGCACTAGAGGAACTATATTTACAATCTATATAAAAACATCCCTGTTATATAGCAGCAATACACTATAAATTACCCGCAGAAGGATGGGGATTAGCTATGCTGCGAAATTATATATACATAGCTTCCAACATTCCAGATCTCTACTTGATTGTAACAAACTTGTTAGTACCATGTCTAGCCCAGTGTTTCTTCATGTCAAGAGGATGAGAAAGATTGTAACCTTCAGCTGACAGTTTCAGGAGAAGTTTCACATAGGCTCCATTGCTCATTTTCCTACCAGCCATGCGAACACCAGGCCTAGTTGAACTCATGGGAAGAGGATGCTCAGATATGCTGTCAGTGCAACATGAGGATTGCCATCCACCAGCACCCCATTTGTAACAAACTCTAGGCATACCTGTACAAGAACAAAATGGAGAAGGAACCCCAGATAGATCAAAGTTTATTTTGCCAATATCGATATCGAGATTCTTTTTCTCATGTTTTGCTTCAAGTGTGATTTGTCCCTTTGTTTTCTTGGAAGATATCTTTTTGGGTTGCTTTGGCCCCAAAACCTTGGGTGGGATTTGATTAGAATCCTTGGCAGCAGACTTCTGCTTCCTAGCCTTTGTGGGTTTAGTTCCCGAGTTAATCTTAGCAAGATCAGCTGGAGATATGGAACGGATGGGAGCAACTGGAAGGCCCGGTTGTGGATCAATCTGAGTTCTGTCAAGACCTGAATTGGTTTTCAGTGAAGAGAAGAAACTTCCAGGATAAAACCAGGAAAAAATTGCTTCTGGTATCAGATGGTTTCTAGAATTTGTCCCCATCTTCATTACCACTGGATTAACACTATGTGCGCAACAGGAGTTTGCCAGGAAAATCAAAATTCTAGTGCTCAACTGCAATTGACATCTATATCAACCCAAATTCCACTTGTAATCCACAGGTTTTGTTGAAGGATAGTGAGTTTACCACTTTAAAACGCAAAACTTCCTCCTTAAAGCAACAAATAGGATATAATTAAAAAGGAGCTGGCTAATTCATGCCAGAATCAATTCCCTCATTATTAAAACCAAAAGGTAAAATCCTACGCTAGCCAAACTAAACATGGAAAGCATATTGAAATAGGACAGTATGAATGAGGAAATGCATCATTCTCGACATTTGATGATGATAATTTGCATTGGAAAAGATTGAAGGGCAGAGTACTCGGAAAAGACTAGGCAGCGAGGCACAGCAGTAGGAAATGCATAAAGAAAGGCATCACTCAAATTCAGTAGAAAGACCTGAATTGTATTTATTTGCAAGCTGTATCAAGTAAGAATACTCAAAAACAGGCTGAACCTGTAAATCACAAAAAGCATAAGAACAGCACAGAAACTCATGACCGAGAGGAGAAAAAAACAGGCCAAAAGCTCATTCCATTGCTGGAAGATCGTAATAAGTAAGGACTCCAGAGAACATTTAGGATATGCGCCATAGTTACTACAAGGCAAGAGTTTATAAACATAATACATGCCCCACATCACTTCATAAGGGGAAAAAACGTACAGGACCTAAAAAGGAAGAGCAATGTTGAAAGCATGCAGTGGAGTTCAAGCTCCGAAAAACAGGTTATTTGTAAAATTAAATTGAAAACCGATTAAACCTGTAACAAAAGCACAAGTCTTGAAAAAAACAAAGAAAGAGAAAAGGAAAACAACCCTTATGAGAAAACCACTTCAGTCTTGAAAAATCAAAGGGTAAAAATAGAAAAACCTACATCAAAATCCCATGAACTAAAAAAAAAAAAAGGCAAGCTTGCAAAATCTTAGAAAAAAGAAGAAGCTGATTTCTGCTAATTTGACTGTTTCTAAATTTGATGAACAACTTCTTGTTTGCATTCATTACCTCAAAGAGAGCGCCTTTTGAGTTTCTTGTATCACACTTTCACTGTCATCACCAGCTGATGTTCTTGTTCCGTTTTTCGCTTGCTGTCTTTCCCTTTAAAGTACAAACATGAAATATTTATTCGTTTTAATATCTACCTCAAGGGAGTCCGTCCTCCAGTTTTCTTCAAATCTCAAAACACTCCTTGAAGTTTTTTTTACTGTAAATAGTTTTTTTGGGACTTGTTTTCAGTGCGAGAAAAGGCAAACCTTTAGACTACCATATTTTTATTTTATAATTAGGGGGGAGATAAATAGGTTATTCAAAACTTTCATACAAGATAGTCACAGGTCATAACGCCTGTATAACCCATACAAGATAAAATCAAGTTATCGCTGTAAAACTGGTTGAATGAATAACGTATACTTTTATCTAAGTTTATAAAAAAAAAATTGAAAAAAAAAAGGTATGGAAATGAAGAAATCTAATTAAGTGCTAGCTTCATACATTTATTTGCTATGTTATGGGTATTACTTCGAGTTAATTTTTAATATAATAAAAAATTATCTATGTTATGGATATGTTTCAAGGTATCATGATTTTTTTATAAATACACCATTAAAAAAATATAATTTATTTATATAAAATACAAGGCAAAACACTTATAGACAAATTATAATTATTTCTTCAAAGCATTCTAAAAATATTTTAAAAAATCAATGATGCTTAAAAAATACTAAACAAAATAGTTTAAAAAATAAAAGAGAGGATATTAATTAATATTTAAATAAAAATAAAAAAATAGAAAATAATTAGGTGTTACTAGGCCAGGCAGGCCAAGCACCAACCTAATTAGCTTTCAAAGAGCCCAAGCCCACATGTTTGGCTATGGTTATGTTTATATTTCGAAGAAAGGACTCCATCGCCTGCTCCATTTTTTCATTCTTCTAGTAGGTAATAGGTCGCTTCTTGTGGCAAATAACCTGTCACCTTTTGAATATATTTTGGTTACATTTGATAATTGTAAAGTCAGAATTTAAGTTTTTTTTTTTTTAAAGCAGGTGGAATCCAAAAGACAATAAACACACATAAAACACATGATTTTGATGGGCAAAAAGAACTGAACACTAAATTCATAATTTACCCTCTAAAAAATAAGAATGATGAATTCGTTATTTTTAGAAAATTTACAAAACTTTAAATCGGCTAAAACCCTATCTCAACAAGAAAAAAAATAAAAATATAAAGGAAATAATAATAGAATCCAAAGTTAGGCATAAAATCTGAAAATAACAAAACTCTCAAAATGAAGAACTTTAGTAAAATTCTCAATATCTTAAATTACGATGGTCTACGTAGCTAAATAGTGGCTATTATAGGGAAAACAACATTTAGAAGTTATTATCTATTTGAACCATTATTTTGGTCTAGTATAACCAAATCTCCTCTTGGATTTAGAAATATTCTACTAGTCTATAAAAGCATATATTAGGTTATTCACATAATTTTTTTGGATTTTATTATTTAGTTATGAAAGATTTACACTTGAGTGCTCTAAATTACTTATTATCGTAAATCCAACTATATCTTTTTTAAACTCCTAAAACTCTTTCTCTAATTTGTTTTTAATTAAAAATACCTCAAAACAAATCATAGAGAGATTGATATATCTATTTTCAGCCTCAATACACCTTTCAAGCCCTTAAAAAATAAAAATCAATCACTAAGCAAACTAAGCGGATCCTTGTTTATTGTTTCCAATATTTTTATAGGAAAAATTAGCCTAGATAAATTTTATCTTGAGAAGACTTATTGAAATTTAAAAAAAAAATCAACCTTTTTAATGATTAAAATATAACCTTCTTAGTATTTTTTCTCTCCTTAAAATTTTTTGATGACTTTCTCTTCTTTTTCACAACATTCAAGGATTGAAATATAAAAAAAATAAAGTTTTATACCAAACAGTAATTGCTAAAGAAACAAGGATCAAACTATTGAAAAACTACAAATTAAGAGATTAAATTGAAGCCTTTTGTGACCAAATAGCAATGGGGTCTCTCTCTCTTTCTCTCTTCGTTCACAGTCTTCCTTCTTTTAATTTATATTTTAACCACAATTAAAGTTTGAGTTTGCTAAATTGATACTCAATTAATCTTCTAATGTTGCTCAAAATTATAGACACGAGAGAAGATGCAAAAGGAAAGAAATGTAAATAAACCATGTTAATGTAATATTTGCGGGATGAAAGTGAAAAGCTCAAAAGCTTGATGATAGAAAAAAGGTGTGGCTCAAAATGAGCAGTGCAACCAATAGTATTTTGCGACGTGGGCTCCAGCAAAACACCCACCACTTTTAGTTCATTCTATAATCACTGTTGAGATACATGGTAAATACACTGATTAATTCTTTAATGCTATTTTTTAAATACATTGTCATAAAAAGTATAGTTTGGTCCCCTAGTATTAATTTTTTCCTTTATAATCCTTTTCTTAGGTTTCATATTTTATCGTTAATTTTTATTTATTTTACATTTCAAATCCTAATTTTCAAGAAGAGTGAGAGTCACTAGAAAATAAAAGAAAAGAGATAAAAGTGGTTGATTGTCATTTTTTTCTACTGAAAATATTGATCTTGGTGTTGTTAAATTTCTCTTAACAGGAAGTGTGTCATTAAGATATTTTCAAACTTTTATCTCGCTGAAAAAACAAATCAAAGTTAAGGATGAATTTATTTTTTCAATTTGATTTTGTGTTTTTTACCAATTTAGAATTCTTTTTTTATGTTCGATGGGTTCCATTTGATGAGTGGAATTCGATAGTAATAACTTTTGTTAAGGCTCTAAAATGCTGGGCCTCGGCCTGTGTGTCTGGCTTGTCTTTTCTTTTTAAATTCCTTGAGCATTGAGTTTTTGATGATTTTTTTAATTTTATATTTTAATATTAGGTTATTTTAAATTCATCTTTTTTTATAAGATAATTAAAATAAATATTATTGAACTCATTAAAATTCATAATTCAACTCAAGAGCTTAACGAGTTAATTCTAATTAACTGAAATCAATCAAATACATCATCATCTTAGTGTTAAAAAAATTAAATGTGAGCTTCAATTTTTTTAATTCAAACTTTTTTTTTAACAGTCGTTTATGTTGCTTTTAAACATACATGACTAGATTTTATTTTTTATTTTTTTATTAAAATTTACTAAATTGATCGAGTCACGTCAAAATAACTCTTATATAATTTAATAAAAAACTTAAACTTAACGAAGAATCAAATTGAAATTTTTAAATTTGACTCACTAGTCATGTTTAATTATAATATCACAAAATTCCCCACAACTTGGATATTATTTCTTTTTATATATTTAAAAAAGTTTTATTTCAACATGCAACATGCCTCGTTAAGTAAACTCATATTTTCTATATTGTTTCAAACTTGCAAGTACATATTATATATATAACCCACATGATAGATCTTTAATTATATCATCAATTTTAAATATTGGTTGTCTTAATTGACTAACATGAGATAGTGAGATTTTATTTGAAAATGTAGATTAACTTGTATTTTTATAAAAAATATTTTTTTTATTTAAAATTAATTTGTTTTAATATTTTTAAATCATTTTAATGTATTAATATCAAAAATAATTTTTTAAAAATAAAAAAATATTACTTTAATATATTTCTAAATAAAAAATATTTTTAACTATATTGCAAAGAGACACTTAAATGTCTGGTTGATAAAAAAATACTTTAAAAATCATTCTTGAAAGATTCAATATTTAATTCATCAAAATTAGTATATTCATTATCCTCTAACTAAACATAACAACATCAAAGCAAAATTTAACGAAAACTTCAAAATTCTTAAAAGGATATTTTTATATTCCAAAACACACACACACAAATATATATTAAAAAGTAACTACAAGATTCATAAATCTAACCGTAGCTCCCCTCATAAAGCACCATTCACTAGAACATTGCTATATCTTTTTGTTTTTTATCTTTTAAAAAATGGTTTTCATTTAGTTCTTGAGCATTGTATTTATTGGGATTTTATCTATTTAATTTGTTTCTTTTCATTTTCTATAGCACTATCGTAGTCTCGGCAAAACACCCCGCTATAGAGTTTATTCTTGATGCGAGATTGAAAGTTTGAAGATAAAGGAGAGAGAAGCTATTTACTTGGCTTCGCAATTTATCAAACAGAAAATTGGCTATCATTTATCAAACAAGTTGGTGCAATATTTTTTCTCTAACATATCGAGGAATAAGAGATGTAACCAGTGTGTTAAGACAAGTAACTAGGCCTCTGAAGAACAATTGACTAGTTTGGGGGTGGTGGAACCAGACAAAGGTCCCCAAGTCTCACTCGACTCTTGGTCATTGCCCCCGCAGAATCTTTGCAACCGAACAACTGCACTTGCTAGGACACTCGTCTTTCCAGGACAAATTCAAAAATAAAAAAGTAAGAAAGAAAGAAACGAAGTTTTGGATGCCTATGAAATTCCTCAAAGTCAAATATATAACATGCAGGTAATTCCAATCATATTTTAGCCAGTAGTGATTACATCGACAAACCAATAATTACAATCTGGAAAAAAAAGCTAAGCAATCTAAATGAGCAGCCGAAATTGGGAATTTAAAAACAAAAACGAAAAATGGTTAGCAATCGATCTTGTAGATTAGTAGCTCCATGATATCAAGGCTCATTTTCGTAATGATAGGCATAATGAGGTGGGGTGGGGGCATGAAAGATATCATTTTCGTAATGATACGCATAATGGGACGGAGAGGAAGGGTCATAGGCATGCTGAGGGGGAGAAGAAGGATGATAGACATAATGTGGCGGGGAAGAAGGATGATTGACTTGTGGTGGGGAAGGAGGATGATTGACTTGATGTGGAGAAGGGGAGCTGAGTTCACTGATTCGATCACTAGCAGTTTGTGGTTTGTTTTTTTCTACCTTGACCTTGACCTTGACCTCGACCGATTGCTCTTCTTCAAATGAACGGAAAATTGGGTGCAAATATGCATCAGCCAAATATGCTTTCAAGTTCACATCAGATTCTGCAGTACGGTCTGTTATGTCCTTCGCCATGGCTTCCTGAAGTAGAACCAAGAGGAAAACAGTGGCATTAGAACTTGAAGACAAGCATGCCTCGTGCCTCTATTCAAATTTAAAGTTGAAAAGGTGATTTCATAATAC